TCGTGGGTCTGTCTTGGGAGCCTTCTGGGGGCATCTTGGGCTTCTTGTGGCCAGTCTCGGGGCTCTCTGGGGCAGTCTTGGGGTCCTCCTGGGCCGTTTTCGAACCCTCTGGGGGACCTTTTGGGCCGTCTTGGGGCGATATCGGGGGCCCATCGGGCCGTCTTGGACGCTGCGAAGACGCCAAGAGCGGATATACCAATCGGAGGTGAGGGGGTGAGATCGAAGTGGAACGGAGAGCCCCCCTACCGGGAAATCCATTTCGGTTTCGTGTTCGTGCGTGCCGTGCGGGCGAGGCGAAGCTGCGTGGGCGGGCGAGAGAAAGTCTCCTGTGGCTGAGGCGCGGCCGGACCAAATGACTCCCTTCCGGGCGGCCGGTGGTCCGCGGTGTCCCGCCGGTGTCCCGCTGGTGTCCCGTGTGGCTGAGGCGCGGCCGGACCAAATGACTCCCTTCCGGGCGGCCAGGGGCCCGCGGTGTCCCGCCGGTGCCCCGCGGTGTCCCGCGGTGTCCCGCGGTGTCCCGCGGTGTCCCGCCGGTGTCCCGCGGTGTCCCGCGAGGATGATGATGATGAGATGATGGTGATGATGATGATGATGATGATGAGATGCTGATGATGGTGTGCCGATGGAAATTATGATAATGTTGATGATGGTGTCGATGGTGATGATAGTGTCCCGGTGATGAGGATGATGATGCTCATGATGATTAGGTTGATGATGATGACGATGATGGTGTCCCGATGATGATGATGATGATGATGCTGATTCCGATGATGTTGGTGATGATGATGTTGATGGTAATGGTGTCCCGGCGATAATGATGTTGATGATGCTGATGATGTTGATGATTATGGTGTCCCGATGATGATGCTGATGATGATCTTGATGGTGATGATGATGATGGTGATGCTGATGGTGTCCCGATGATGATAATAATGGTAATGACGATGTTGATGATGATGTTGCTCATGATGATGATGGTGCCCCAATGATGATGATGTTGTTGATGATGATGATGTCGATGATGATGCGATGATCATGATGATGATGGTGTCCCGAGGATGACGACGATGTCGATGATAATCTTGATGATGAGAACGATGGTGATCATGATGGTGTCCCGATTGTGATGATGATTCTGATGATGCTGCTGATGATGATGATGACGATGACTGTGTCCCGATGATGATGATGATGATGATGATGATGATGATGATGATGATGATGATGATGATGATGATGATGATGATGATGAGATGATGATGGTGATGATGATGATGTTGTCCCGATGATGATGCTGACGTTGATGATGATGTTTATGATGATGCTTATGACGGTGCCCTCATGATGATGACGATGTTGGTGATGATGTTGATGTTGACGATGTTGATGATGATGATGATGATGATGACGTTGATTGTGAGAGCGATTGTGATATCGATAGTGAGATCGATATTGAGATCGAATGTGAGATCGATTGTGTGATCGATTGTGAGATCGATTGTGAGATCAATTGTGAGATCGATCGAATGAGATAGATCGAGTGAGATCGATTGTGAGATCGATCGAATGAGATCGATCTAGCGAGACCGATAGTGATATCGATACTGAGATCGATAGTGAGACCGATCGAGTGAGACGTTGGTTCCCCCCCCCCGAAACTCCTTATCACCCGAAGGGTGGTCGTATAGGTACTGAAAATATACATTATCCGAAGGGAATGGGGCGATTATTGCTTCTTCGGGGCTCTCTTCACGCTCGTTTGGGGCGTCTTTGGGGCCTCTTCGGCCGTCTTCAAACCATCGAGGTTCCTCACTGAGCGCTCTTGTGCTGTCTTGGGTCTCTCGTGCGCGTTTCCGATGACCCTTCCGATCGCCTTGAGTCTGCTCGCAAGACCTAGCAAGGCGCTCTGGGAGGCCCGGAAAGGCCAGCGGACCTTTTCCAGGGGCGTCCAGGGGGCGTCGAGAAGTCCGAAAGGGCGTCCGGAGCGTCCCTGGGGGGGGGGCGGGTCCGGTTTAGGGTGTGCGTGTGGGGGGCTCCGGGAAATAAACGTACATATCAATAGGACAAACAACAACTTCTCTTTTTTTGTACACAACTATTTGTATCACAAATACCAGAACTGCCAACAACTACTCTATATACACATATATATATGTATATATATGTTTGCAACATCTCTTTAAACGGAGCTATTATCTTTTTGAAAATCAAAATTTCAAAAAGTACAAATATATCAACACATCAAATTACAGTTTTAACACAAAGAATTAAACGAAACAGGTCGAAGAGCGCACGGCGCGCTCGGCGGCGACTTCGGAGCAGCGCCTTCCTCCCGGCCCCCTCGTGGCGGAGGCCGGGCCGCGCGCGCCAGGGGCCGGAGGCGCGCGAGGCGGCTCGGCCACCGTGGCTTTCAAGCGGAGTGCCGGCGGCGTCGGTCTGTGCACCCGTGCTCGAAATCGGGCTTGTCCCTCCACAGGGGGGAAACTCAAAATTATCCCGGCAAAGCAACCTAACAGCGATGCGTAGGAGCATGTCTGGAAGCATTCCCCTTAAGATTCACATGAGAATCCAGTTGTAGAATTCTGCTGTTCTCGCAGTCGCAGTCGCATTCGCGATGAAAGTCGCAGTGGCAACGGCAGTCGCAGTCACAGCCTCAGCCTCAGCCTCAGCCTCAGCCTCAGCCTCAGCCTCAGCCTGCTTCAGCCTCAGCCTCAGTCTGCCTTCAGCCTCGGCCTCAGCCTCAGCCTGCCTCAGCCTCAGCCTGCATCAGCCTCAGCCTCAGCCTCAGCCTCAGCCTGCCTCAGCATCAGCCTGCCTCAGCCTCAGCCTCAGCCTGCCTCAGCCTCAGCCTCAGCCTGCTTCAGCCTCAGCCTCAGCCTCAGCCTTGCAGCCTCGGCCTCAGCCTCGCCTGCCCAGCCTCAGCCTCAGCCTGCCTCATCAGCCTCAGCCTCAGCCTCAGCCTGCCTCAGCCTCAGCCTCAGCCTGCCTCAGCCTCAGCCTCAGCCTGCTTCAGCCTCAGCCTCAGCCTGCCTGCAGCCTCGGCCTCAGCCTCAGCCTGCCTCAGCCTGCCTCAGCCTCAGCCTCAGCCTCAGCCTGCCTCAGCCTCAGCCTGCCTCAGCCTCAGCCTCAGCCTCAGCCTGCCTCAGCATCAGCCTGCCTCAGCCTCAGCCTCAGCCTCAGCCTGCCTCAGCCTCGGCCTCAGCCTGCAGCCTCAGCCTCAGTCTGCCTTCAGCCTCGGCCTCAGCCTCAGCCTGCCTTCCTCAGCCGCAGGCTCTCAGCCGCCTCAGGCCTCTGGCCTCAGGCCTGCTGAGCCTCAGCCTCAGTCTGCCGAGGCCTCGGCCTCAGCCTCAGCCTGCCTAAGCCTCAGCCTGCATCAGCCTCAGCCTCAGCCTCAGCCTGCCTCAGCCTCAGCCTGCCTCAGCCTCAGCCTCAGCCTGCCTCAGCCTCAGCCTCAGCGTGCTTCAGCCTCGGCCTCAGTCTGCCTTCAGCCTCGGCCTCAGCCTCAGCCTGCCTAAGCCTCAGCCTGCATCAGCCTGAGCCTCAGCCTCAGCCTCAGCCTGCCTCAGCATCAGCCTGCCTCAGCCTCAGCCTGCTTCAGCCTCAGCCTCAGCCTGCTTCAGCCTCGGCCTCAGTCTGCCTTCAGCCTCGGCCTCAGCCTCAGCCTGCCTCAGCCTCAGCCTGCATCAGTTTGAGCCTCAGCCTCAGCACGAAGTGGCCTACAGTTGGCTCCGGGCATTCAAAATGTGGCCCAGGAATGGAGTTCTGGGAACTCGAAGACCACGAAGTAGCCTACAATTGGCTCGGGGCATTCAGAATGTGGCCCGGGAATGGAGTTTTGGGAAGTCGAAGAGCACAAAATGGCCTACAGTTGGCTCCGGGCATTCAAAATGTGGCCCGGGAATGGAGTTCTGGGAACTCGAAGAGCACGAAGTGGCTTACAGTTGGCTCCGGGCATCCAAAATGTGGCCCGGGAGTGGAGTTCTGGGAAGTCGAAGAGCACGAAGTAGTGGCCTACAGTTGGGTCCGGGCATTCAAAATGTGGCCCGGGAATGGAGTTCTGGGAGGTCGAAGAGCACGAAGTGTGTGACTGTTTGCTTAAAACTTGGGGATCTTCTGACCCGGGTCAACCCAAACCCGGGTCAGTCAGGACCTGCAGGATCCTGCAAGATCCTGCACCCAAACCCGGGTCAATGCGAAGGATCCTGCAAGATCCTGCAGGACCCTGCACCCAAACCCGGGTCAATGCGACCCTGTCTCTGCAGGATCCTGCAGAATCCGGCGCGCTGGCTGACCCCCGTTTGCACTGACCCCCGTCTCTTGAGCCTCGAAAAACGAGCCCAGCCCTGAGCCCGGCCCTCGCTGTCCGGATGCCGCCCAGACCTCCCTTCTGTGTCATCAGATGCTCTCTTTTGACACCACTAGAAACCTATCAGTCTTCGCTGTTAGGTAAATAGTCTAAAAAATAGTCAGGGGCTGACTTTTTGCATATGGTTTGACCTTTTTGGGGGTATTTTTTGGGGGTATTCTGCATTTTGCCTTTTTGGTGTATTTTTGGGGGTACGTTGCATTTTTCGTCGAAGATCCCCCAGTAGGGGTACACGCCCGACATCGCCCGTGCTCTTGCCCGCAGGGCCCCGCCCGCCCTCCGGCCCTGGCTCGTCCGGGGAGGGGGGGAATGAGAGGGGCGAGAGCGGAGGCACCGACACGGGGATCGTTCGACTTTTCTGAAGTCCTCTTTCTTCCTCGTGTTTTTTTTTTTTTTTTTTTTTTTTTGTTCTCTCTCTCTCTCTCCCCCTCTCTCTCTCTCTCTTTTTCTCTCCCTCTTTTTGCTGCTCCGTCCGCGTGCGAAGCCAGAGTGGCCAAAGTGCATGGCGCGGGACGCCATTGCGGCATGGTGTGTGCAGTTCATGGTGTATACCCTCCCTACCCCCTCTTACTCTCTCTCTCTCTCCCTCTCTCTCTCTCTTCTCCCAGGTGTCTCCTCCCTCCGCTCCCGACTCCCGAGGCCGAGCTCGAGATCGGCGTCTCCGTAGGTCTCGCCGTCGAAGGCGGCGACGATCCTCGCCGGGGGCACTGAGGCGACGGGGAGGGGTCGAAGAGCTGGAGGGGCAAGCATGCCACGACATCTGCGAAAAGCGAACTGGTTGACCAACACACGCATGCGTGTGCACTGGAGCTGCACACGCCCTGCGGGCCTCCAGCCAGCCTCGGCCTCGAAGCCTTCGCGCGCCTCCACGAGTCTGCAGGAGGGGCAAGAACGACCAGCACCGAATCGATACGTCAGGTCGGGTCGGGACGAACACCCAATCGGGCCGCAGCGGTGCGGGGTCGGAATCGGACCGAACGGGCCGTGCCAGGCTGTACAACAGCATCGTGCAAGCATCGGGGCGCATTCTATCGCCGGGACATCGGACTCAATCAGGGGGAACGCCAGCGGGGACAGGCTCAGCGTGGGGAGCACCGAGCACGAATCGGCGATACATCGCCGATGGATCGGCGATGGGCCCCCGAGAGCGGATCCGCGCGCTCCTGGGCGGGGTGGGCCATCAGATCCCTGTCGGCGATCGAATGGAAGGAGAAACAAAAACATAAACATAGACTTTCGACGGGCCGCCCAGAACTCTTGTATCTGCGCCGGGCCCCCCTCCCTGGCGCGCCAGGGGCGGCGCCAAAGGCGCTGGCGAGGGGTCCGGTGCAGATCGAAGAAATCCGCGCGGACCGTCGACCGTGCATGCTTCTACTTCGGTCGGGCGTGTCCCCCTACAGGCGGATTTCGGACCAAAAATTGAAAGTAGTCAGCAATATCCACAAATGCTTTAAAGTATAAAACAAATCGTCTCCAGACTCTTTTTTCAAACACTTGTTGGGTATGCCTCCTGTACAGGGACATGCCCGACTCAAGTGTATGCCGTTTCTTGTTCTTCTTGCTCTTCTTCGACCAGTGGGCGCTTGGGGCTCGATGCCTTGCCCCTCTGAGCCTGCACCCCCGACGCTGCGAAGGGCCAGAGCGGCCAGCACCCCGAACCGATGCACCAGCTCGGGTCGGAACAGGCATCGACTCGGCCGCCCTCGGTCTGGCGTCGGAGAGACCGGGGCGGACCGGCTCGGCCGCGCCAGGCTGCGCTACAGCGCCGAGCAGACCTCGTGGCGAGCCGGCTCGCCGGAGCATCGGCATCAGATCGGATCGGGCCGCCCAGAGCTCGACGAGCGCGTTCCACTACTCGCAAAGTGCCTACTCGCAAATGGCCTGGATCCCCCGCGGGGGATTTACGATAAATTACATCAAAGCAGACGTGTGTTTTTCAGACGTTTGCGAGCAGGCACTCTGCGAGTAGTGGAACGCGCTCGGCGAAGAGCGGCATCGATCTAGCTATAAGCCGGATCCAAAAGCGTGGGCCCTAGTGGTGGGGGGATGCCGGAGCGCCGTGCGCGAGGCGGGCGGGCTGGTGCCGCAGCTCCGAGGCCCCTCCGCCGCGCAGCTGCAGGGAGGGGCGAGCGGGCAAGGGACCGTACATGGACAATATATTCGAACCCTCACACATTTGAGGGAGATTCTAAATCACCCCCGCGCCCCCGACATCAATGTTGATCTCAGTAGAGGCGGTGCTTTGGGGTTCGAGTATTTCTGTCCACTCACGCCCCCCCCCGTCGCCACGCCATCAATATCAATTTCGGGGGGTCTGGGGGGCATCCTGGGCCACAGGGTTCGAGTAATGTCCATGTGCTGGAGGGAAGGGGATGAGCTGGAGGTGGAGGGAAGGAGGTGTGGAGGGCCAAGGGGGGGGGGGCAAGCGGCACAAGATGTGGGCACGCACGGCATAGGGTCGGAACGGATGCCTGAGGAGGTAAGTTTCCCAGTGGTCCGGGTAGGGGGACAAAAAGTGGCATAAACATAAAAACTCGGAGGTCCGCGCGGATTTCTCGGATCGGCGCTGGACCCCCCTCCCTGGCGCGCGGAGCGCGCCAAAGGCGGCGCCGGAGGCGCCGCCGGGGGGCCCCAGCGCCGATCAGAGAAACCCGCGCGGACCTCCGAGTTTTTATGTTTATGTCACTTTTTGTTCCCCTAAGGAGAGCCAGCTGGGGTGTGGGGGTCAAGGATGCTGATCTCAAGCCCACAGAAAGCCTGAGAGGAGGCCTGCCAAGAGAGCAGACCATCAACCGCGGCGAGCTCGTGTCGGGACCCACAAAAAAAGGGAGGAGGAGGAGGAGGAGGAGGAGGAGGAGGAGGAGGAGGAGGAGGAGGAGGAGGAGGAGGAGGAGGAGGAGAGGAGGAGGAGGAGGAGGAGGAGGAGGAGGAGGAGGAGGAGGAGGAGGAGGAAACGAGGAGGAGGACGAGGAGGAGGAGGAGAGGAGGAGGAGGGGTGACCCTGAGGGGGGGGATGCGTTCGATCCGTCGGTGCACCGAACTGCAACCAACAAATGCTTCCCGCATTCCTCACCTATCGGCATTTGTCGGCGGCTGGGGGGGGCATCTGGTTACGGGCGGTTCGGTGCAAAAACCGATCGACGCCCCCCCCCCCCCCCCCCCCCCCCCCCCCCCCCCCCCCCCCCGGGGCACACACACACCCCTTGCGGTATCCCGATCTATGCAATGACCCAGGCCATTCAGAACTTGGCAGGAGAACCCACCAACGTCACATATTCCGCACATGTATACCGAAGAGATCTGACGGGCCCGATGTGGACGCATAGTCTTAATGTAGACTTAGTGGTACGATTGTTGGGAGGCCTGAAACCAATTGATTCCCTCCAAACCAAGTCTCACCCTGCGGAGCCTGATTTCTGGGGGCTATAACGTCCAGCCTCGAGCTTATCTCGCCATTCATCTAGCTGATGCCAAAGCCAGTGATGCCGCTGAGAAGGTCCAACTCTCATAATGGGTAATAAAGCCACTTGTAAATGCGGATCGCGATCTGTATTTGATCCAAACACGTTTAGCCACTATCCACGAGTTTATCTGGGAAGTTTTCCCTGCCCCTCTCCCAGCTTCTAAGAAGAAGGGGTGGGTCAAAACTCCCACGAAGTGAGGCCGTGCACGGCACGTCCTCGAAGAGGTCCCCGAGGGGCTGCGGTGCCAGATCTGTTTTCGGTCCCAGGTCCGAAAAGCAAAGGACGCCTGGGTTGGTCAGCCGTGCAATCCGAATCATACCTTATGATGTTCCAACCTACTCTAGCCTTGATCACCAGAAACAATTTCGAGCACCAAGAGAATACCCCAACGGCCGGGTTTTCACGTGCCAGGCCCTGGGAAACACTCATTCGACACTGTTCCAACATTGCTTCGACACTTTTCCGGGTGCCCGAAATTATTTCTGGGACGTGGTCCTTAAATACGAAGGGGCTTTGTGGGCCCGGGAAACGGCGGGGCGGTTTTTTCACCGTTTCCAGAAACATGCCCCTTTAAAGTGGAAACGGCAAACAAACGGCGACGGGAAACGGCAAAAAAACGGCTCCAGGATTGGAGCCGGAGCCGGAACCGGTCAAAAAACGGCGACGGAACCGGTAAAACAACGGCGTCGGAACCGGTAAAAAAACGGCCCTGTCGTTTCCAGGGGCCACTTAGCGAAGGGACCAGCGAAAATCATGCCCAGAGGTCTCACACGCGCTGGCTCCCCCGCCTCCAGGTCTGCTGTGGGTCACCTTCTGCAGCAGGTGTGGGCGGGGTGCCGTCCACCCAAGCATGTGCCTTGAAGGATCCGTGCCAACCCCTCATGGGTACGGGCACAGGAGGAAGAGCAGGAGGAGGAGGAGGAGGAGGAGGAGAAGGAAGAGGAGGAGGAGGAGGACGTCGGCGGGAAGGAGGAGGAGGAGGAGGAGGAGGAGGAGGAGGAGAGGAGGAGGAGGAGGAGGAGGAGGAGGAGGAGGAGGAGGAGGAGGAGGAGGAGGAGGAGGAGGAGGAGGAGGACGTCGGCCTGTCGCGACAAATCACGACAGGAGCCCCGAGCCCCATCTGCCTGCTGCATGCTTCGAACCGGCTCGATCGGTGAGGGTCCCAAGGGCCCTCTGTGGAACAACTGCGACGCCAGGGCTCTCTCCGGGAAGGCGAGGCCTGTTCTCCGTGCCCGCGGCGTCGCACCGCCGCGCACGAGGTCCGCCCCGCCCGCCGCGCGAGCAAGGCCAGCTTGAGCCCTCCCCTCCGACGTCGCGACGGGTTCATGACGTCGGCCCCCAGGGGAGCGCGACCCTGTCCACAGACCTCGTTCTCGGCCTCTCGGGGCCCTCACGTTCCAGGCCTCGGGACCGCCAGCACAAGAACCTCGGGGATGAACAGCAGCGGTGCTGGGAAAGCGGTCGCGTGGTCGAGGGCTCGTGCGTCGAAAAAACGAGACGCCCGATGGCTCGGGACCTTCCCTCGGGGCCGGCTCTTCGTCCTGGGCCGCCTTTGTGAGGTCCCAAGGCAGAGAGACGGCTCTCGGAGGCCGCGTAGAGGAGGAGGAGGAGAAGGAGGAGGAGGAGGAGGGGGCGGAGGAGGAGGAGGAGGAGGAGGAGGAGGAGGAGGAGGAGGAGGAGGAGGAGGAGGAGGAGGAGGAGGAGGAGGAGGAGGACTCTTTTGACTCTTTGGTAGCGGACGCTGTCCTGGGGGGCGATTTAATCAGTGGAATCGCTTCCATCCCCAGCCCGCTCGGGCTGGGGTCCCTGGGCCTGGCCAGGCCTGGAGGGAGCCGCGCGGTCCAACAACCCCGTTCCCGTCTGGGCCCCCGAAGGCCCAGCATCCTGGCCAGCCAGGTCGGCTCCTGGGTTTTCCGATTGCGGGCTCCTGAGCATGGCCGCCACGTCCGCGCAGGCGGCTTCTTCACGAGCCCTAATGGCTTCTAAAACTGCCCTCGGGGGGCCTTCACGACGCGGGAACAAGTCTTTGCTTATCCTCGCTAGGTTCTCCGAACCCTTGTTGGTCCGTCCGTCACATCTGCCAACTAAATTCCTGGGGTCCACGGTGCAATAGGACCCGCACTCCGAACAAATGTGAAGGAACCATTTCTCCACATACTGGAGCCTGTGAGAGGGGTGAACCTTTTCCAGGAAGCCGCTCCCTCGGGCTGAGGGGGCGAACCTCTCTCCAACAGCGGCCTGGGAGCCTCTCCTGACTTCGGCAGGAGGCCCTGAACATGTTGTGGCCGCGAAGACCCGCGTTTGGTAGCGGGGAACAACTCTCTCACAGACCGTGCACCACCAGTATTTATTGCTGCGACCACATGGCTCGAGGATGTGGTCCGAGGCCTGTGCCGCGGCCACCAACTTGGACGGTCTGGCCTCCTTCTTCAAAGGGGGTCTCTCCGCCCGAGTGTTTTCCTCGGCCTCCGCTGCACACGCCAGGGCACGTCTGGCCCTTCGACGAATCAGCGAAGCTGTGGCATCAATTTTGTCCGTCTCAGGCCCCCTCCCCACCAGGTCCCTCCACGCCAACTCCGCCGCCTCCCCCGCCCGCGAATCAGCACAGGCGTTGCCAGAGGCATAAAAGAGTTTCTCTCACGTGTCTAACTTCTCTGGGGCCTCCTCTTGGTGGGAGGGGAACCAAACAACTTCCACATCTAGATTCCTCCTGGCCTGGAAGGCTTTGCGGGCCCTGGTCCAGAGGTCTTCGTTGGCACCCACAGGGTTGGGCCTGCGAAAGCGGGCCCTCCAGGTCCTGGAGATCGTCTTGTGGTCCGTCACAAAAGTGAAACCTAGCTCTGAATCTACTTGCTCTAACGCCAGGCAGAATGCTAAAACTTCGGCTCGGGGGACCGTTTGCTTTTCTCCGAGCAGAGGAACCCCGAGAGCCTCCCCCAAGGTCCACCCGCCACCCGAATCGATCACGAGCCCCACGATCGTTGCTCCGCAGCGCCTACGTCTGGGGTCGTCAGAATATTTGCCCCCCGAGCCGTCTCCGAAAATGTGAACTCTGCCTGACTCCGTGCATTCGGCGAAGCCGTGTGACTTAAAATCCAGCGGCAGCTGGCCGAGGAGCGCTTCATCGAACTCAGGAGTGGTGAGCCCGACGGCAGGTACTCCCCGAAGCCAGAGGGCAGGCAGCGCCTCGTGTTGCGCCGCCGCCTGCACCACGAGCACATCCGACTTCACGAAATCCTCGTGCCCTTTGTTCTGCTCACATTCCCAAATGCGGTGATGCAAACTCTCTTCTTTGAGCTGGCAGCGCGGACAAAGCTTGGAATCAATCAGGTATCCTTGTCTGGCTCGCCTCACTCGTCCATTGCCCACCTGTGGTGACTATCAGGTTGAGTGCCGCCAAATCTGAAGCTCCTTCATTGTGGAACTTGCGCTGCTCTGCCCTTATTCTCCATACATCAGCACCTGGGAGAAGGTCAGCTCCATCCTCATGCTTCGACGCCTGCTGCCAGTACAAACTGCGCATGTCTCTGACCACGTCTCCCAGGATAGCAAGTCTCTCCCAATCGTTCGTGTACTCCGTGCCAGTGCCGCTGGGGATAAGCCAAGCCTGCAACTGTCCATCTGGTAGTGGTCTGTCCCACTCTGTCGCCTTGATGGGGTTCCAGCCTATGTCCATCAGCGTGGCCTGCAGCGTGGCGATGGGGCCTCTGACATAGGCCCACCTCCTCCGTCCAGCCGTGATCAATCGCTGTCTGATCTTAGTCCAGGCTAACTTGACTCTCGCGTGGATCTGAGGATTCATCTGCCACATCGCCAGCCACTCATGAACACAACTCGTTTGCGTAATTCCAGACCTGGCTCCTTGTCCCACATCTCAATTGCAAGTGTTGTCGTCAAACATTTGCCTCCTTGAGAGCCTGCTGCGATCTGGCCCGCCTGTCTTCTTAGCTTCGTCAGCTCCGTCATGGAGAGGCCGAACGCTTGATATCCGTATGTGGCCTGGGGCAGGGCGCCCGTAGACCATAGTCCTTTCGCTTCTTTCGCCAAAGTAGTGCTCTTTCTCAGCCTCTTGATCTTGGCGAAGCGTCTCTTGGCTGCCAGGATTCGTCTCTTGAGTGTGCGTGCAACTCGTTTGCGGCCAGCAGCTGCGTCGAGGCCCAGATCCTTCGTGTATGTTTTGGCCTTGGCGGGGGTTCCGTTCAGCTGCAACCTCTTTGCCACGCTCTTGACCATGTCTCTGTTCGAGCCGATGACGACTGTCTTGTCCGAGATCTTGAGCCTCTGTTGACGAAGTCCTTGGGCGAGCTCGCAGGCCACCCTGACCATTTTATCTGGGGTGTCCTGTGCCGTGCCTTCCTCTCGAGCCACAGTGTCATCGACGAATGTCCAGAGTCCAGCCGTCGGTGATATGATATGCGCTCGCTGTAGGATTGGGTGGAGAAAGACCTTCGCGAGGCTGACACCTCTGGGCGACCCCGCAACAATCGATCTGGATACCCATATTGCCTCACTCAGCGACGACTTGTCTTTGAGAAAGCGTGCCGCCGCGAATATGAGTACTTCCATTTCCACTACCACTGCTGGATAGCCGATACCCCTGGCGATGCGCATCAGCAGCACAAGGCTGACGCCGTCGTAGAACTTCTCGATGTCCTCCAGCAGGGCGAGGCTGGAGATGCCCAGCTCGTATCCCGCCTCGTCCAGGCAGGCTCGGAGCAGCCCAGCTCGCAGCGCCGAGCTGCCTTTGAGGGCCGTGTCCCAGTGCGCGCTCAGCGCTTCACCCCATTCGCTGCAAGGTGACGCCCTCGTCCTGCTCCAAAGTTCGACTGGTAGGGGTAGCGTCCCCAGCACTCTCTCTCCGCCTGCTGGTTTGGGGACCACGGCCCCGAGTGTAGCCGTCCACTGCCTCGGCCATGTGCCCGTCTGCTCGCGCATGTTGATGATGTCGACCAGCTTCTGGCGTGCGCTCTGCGGGGTCCTTTTAATGTCGTGCAACTTGAGACCATCCACACTACCTGCTTTGTTGGGGTTCGTGGCCTGCATTGCCGAGTCGAACTCCTCGATTGTGATCGGGTCCAAGTCTTCTTCTCTGGCCTTTCTGTGCATGGTCTGCAGTTCCAACGCGATGTCCTCTCTGGTGTCCACTGCGTCCGTCCATATCTTTAGCCATTTCTGCCTCTTCGTGTGCATGAGGATCTCTGGGTCCGCCGAGCTCGCGTTCTGGTGGTACTGCTCGTAGGTCGGCTGTACTGGATCTTTGACGTGCTTGTGAAGGATGCCTGGCTTGTCCGACCACATCTTCTTTGCCCACTTGGTAAACTGCTGCCGCTGTGTGGAGATGCCTCTTGAGACCGCTATTGCCAGGTGATTTTCGATCTCATCCTTCAACCTCTCTCTCAAGCTCCTCCAGCGTGTGTGACTTGACCTCCTGCACCCGTAGCATGCGCTCGTCGGCTTCATCATGATCAAAATTTTTACCAAATATCTGATCCAATCCCATCCTTCTGAGCTGCTGGTAGGTCGTGGACAACTCCTTCTCGCACTTCCTCTGTTGCTTGTTGTCCGTGTCGTTGGTCCTTAGTGACTCGTATCTGGTAATCAAGACTCCCATTATCGACCGCAACTCTGCAGCTTGATACTTCATATGCGTACGGCCTGGTGTGGCTTTCGATCTTTTCCATCTGATTGCAAACCCACCTCCTCTCCCTCGGTGCGCATCCGCCTGCTCGGCGTCCATCATGTCTACGCCGATGATCGCCTCCTCCAGAGTGGTGACCCAGACCGCGTACTCGCCTGTGATCGCCTGCTCCATCAGCTTCTGATGCTCACTTCGTATGAGAAGGTTGGCCTCCAACTCGTGCACCTGCTTGGTCAACGCTGGACCGATGGCAGTGCGACTGGCCTGCTCCCACTGGCCCTCGTCTATCGCGTATTGCACCGTCTGCTGCACCATAACGGTATGTGGGGGCTCGAGCCAGTTGAACTCCTCGCGCAAGTCCTCGGGGAGTTCTGCCAATCTCTTCTGATGTGCTGCCTGCTTCTTCTTGCTGCGCTTGCTCTCTGGGTCGGGGGCCTTCTTCGGTGGGAGCACCAGCGGCAACGGCTTGGGAATATCCAAGTGCCTATGCCACCAAGCCTCCGAGCGCCCGGGTAATTTGAGCAAGGGCCCCGTGTGTGTCCTCCAAGGTACTCTCGCATGACCGTCGATGGTGATGCCATCTGCTATGTCTTCTCGTGCCATGGCGAAATCTATGAGACTGCCCTTGCCCTTGTCGCAGGTGACCTGGATCTTCGGAACGACCACCTTGCCTCCCAGTCGCGTGGGGAGGCCTGACTTCTCGACAAGGGACGGGGGCATATTCCAATCTGCCATGGTAATCCAAGGATCTGTGATGCTCCCTATGACCGTCGAGGGCGCCTTAATCTTTTCAAAGTTGCTGCCCTGCATGCCCTCCTTGGGAAGCAGGTAGAGGGAGAAGAGAACGACGTTGCCTCCGCTGCGGTGGATAGCCATGGCCGTGAACCCTCTGAATGGGTCCTGTCCTCCTCGGGCCTTGATGGTCTCCCTCGTCGCGTCGAACGTTGTGGTTGCCAAGTGCGCCTTGGCGATGAGCAGCTCGCCTCCGCTGTTGCCCTCCTTCGAGCGTCGCGTCGGTGTTGCTGCCGTGACTGCTGCTTTCCATCCATCTTTGATCAGGTCTTTCTTCAGCTTCGCGATGCCTGACTGCGGCACATGGGACTCCGTGAAGGCAAAAATCTGAGCAAGTTCCTGGCTCTCGTTGAGGAACTTCTGCTGTTTCTCGCCCCATTGTGTGATATTGCTGAAGAATATGCTGGTGACCTTCGCTGGCTTAGCTGTCTCACATGTCTGATTGCGAGCTCTTTCACACTGGCTGCGCCGCCAGTCTTGACAAGCTGCGTCCACGTCTGGCGCGGACGAGGAGGTTCGATCCCCAAGACAGGGTGGCGACGTCCCAGGGGAACCAGGGAAGGCTGACCACTCGGGGGACGGCGGTGCTGGAGGCCTGTCCAGCGCTGCAGGCGGCTGCCATGGCGGGCTAAATACCAGCCCGACCAGAAGAAAAGCCCGTAGCGCCTCCCGCAGCAGCCGTACCAGCCGTAGGTGAAGTGGTGGTCGCCCTCTGAGATGCCGCCCTGGTACGCTCCCTGTTCTCCTCGATGAGCTTGGCGATCGCCTCTGCCTTGCGCTTTTCTGCGTCTGGATCGCTGGCTTGTTGTTGCTGTGGTGGTGTCTCAGGCTTGGCGTCTTGAGCAGGTGGTGGAACATGTGCGTGTGCTTGCCCGTCTTCGTTGATCCTGCGCTTCTTTGCCGCATGATCCGCCTTGATCTTCTTCGCGCTCTCGACCATGGTGAGCAGGGCCTCCTGCTGCGTCTTGGCGCGCTCCAGCAACTCCTGCAAGGACTTGGCGTCCTCCCTGAACTTTGCGAGCTGGTCCTTCTGCGTCTGTTCCAGGTCCTCCTCGTCGGTGAAGAGGCTCTCGTCCACCTGGAAGCCCGCCTGCTCGGGCTTAGCCGCCGTGCCCTCCGCCACTGAGTGCATGTTGTATTCTTCCAGGGCCTTCGAGTGCTCCTGCTGTGCCTCGTAGACCTCCGCCGCTGCCTGCGCCACCTGCTCAGCGAGCTTGGCGAGCGCCTTCTCAGCGTCCATGTGTCGCTTGGTGACTCCATCGAGCTTGGCCTTGGCGGAGTTGACCTTGCCGATTGCCTGCTTGAGAGCCGCAGACTTGGGTACCTCCTTCTTGGGCGGGGCGCACTTCTGGGAGATGGTGGTCTGCAGGTGCTCCAGCTGCTCCTGCATGCTCTGGTCGGGCCCAAGCTTGGAGACGGCGTGGGCCAGCTGCCTGCACACCACTTCCGCGTAGGTGCCCTTAGTATGTTGGTCTCCCCATGGTGGCTTGCGTGACGCCGAGGTAGTGTCCGCCCGGAGAGTGACGAACGAGTCGCACTTGGCGCAGCAGCCCCCATTGCGCTTGATCTTCCAGTCGTACGCCCAATTGTTGCAGCTCTTGCAGACTGACCAAGCCCATTTCTTGGACGGCGGCGCCATCGCACACACGTGGTGCCTGCTGCCGTCAGGGTGTGGGTCGGTATGCTCCTCCAGGAGCTCACAGGTTGAAAGAGAAACGTCGGGCAGAAACGCCCTGGCACTGGCCGCGGACTAGCGGTATCCACGTGTTCCCCTGTGGAACAAAGCATCTTGAGCCAAAATGGCTACGGAGGAGGAGGGAGGAGGTGGACGGTGGGCGGCGAAGGGAAACGGAGGAGGAGGAGCGCGGAGGGAGGAGGGAGGAAAAGGAGGAGGAGGAGGAGGAGGAGGAGCGGGGAGGAGGAGAGAAGGAAAGAGAAGGTTACGGAGGGGGAGGAAGGAGTGAGCAGGGAGGGAGAGGTTCGAGGAGGAGAGCGGAGGGATGAGGAGAGAGGCGAGAGGGATGCAGGAGAAAGGAGCAGGGAAGGAGCAGAAAAGGGAGTGAAGGTGATTACAGGAGGCATAGAAGAGGAAGTAGGAGAAATGAAGAGAGATGACGATAGGAGTGGAAGAGGAGGAAAGAGGAGGAGAAGGAGGGGATAGAAGGAGGTAGGAGGAGGAAAGGAGAGGGGGAAAGGGAGGAAGATAAGGAGGGGAGAGGGGGTTGATAAAGGGACAGGCAGGGGAAGGAGGAGAGGAGGAGAGGCGGAGCGTGAAGGAAGGAGCACGAGATCCTAGGCACCGATTACCTTTCCTCCTTGCGCCAGCGCGCCTGCTCCACGATGTGGGATCGGGGGAGGATCGGCACAACAAATGCCTCGGACGCTCCGCGTTGGGAGACGCGTGGCCAAACTCACGGCGTCTATCAACCTGGTCGGCTTGGGTAGAGGGACCGTGAAGCGCAACTCTGAATGGGACGCTCAAACGAATGTGTGTGATGAACACGACAACAACAAAGCCAGGACCGCCCTGGCGGACAAGGGAGGAAGATAGGGCCCCTGGGAGAAATGAGCGCACAGAGCCACCTGAAGCGATATACTGTAACCGCGGCAACACATATCTATATATATATATATATATATATATATATATATATATATATAGTGGTTGACCTTATCTGGAGCATCGCACCCGAAGGTGCACTGAACATCAAGCCGGGCCATCCTGCGACTTGTGACCCATGACCCAAGCCACGATCTGAGAGCAATCTGGGACCACGCGGGGGGGGCCAACTGCAGCAGCTCCATCATGGCATCCTCTGTCCCTTCCCGGTCGAAGGAAGGAACGAAGGAACGAGGACACGAACGAGGATGCGAGCGGGGAGGGAAGGGGGTCGGGTACAGGGCAGCCTGGAAACAAAACTTTAACTTCCCCTCCCACCGCGGTCTCCCTCTCGCTTCTCGAACCGTGGGGTCCCGAAACATATGCAGGGCAGCCGCCCCGCCCTGAATCAGAGCGCGTTGGAGGAGGCGAGAAGGAGGACGGGCGGAGAAATCGAAGGAGGGAGGACGAAGAGGAAAACCCAGGGAGGCCCACTCAAGGGTGCTAGCGATCGCCTCGGACTGCCAGAACTCGGGGGCGTGCCGCGGAGACTGCCACCATGCCGCGGGTCCATGGGAGACCACGGCCGTTCGCAAACGTGCGATCTGATCCTGCCATGTCGAGAGTGTCGCCAAGGAACACCGCATCAACGCGGCCGCATTCATCGAACATATACTCGGCAAACGAGGTAGCCCCAAGGAGTGGAGTTCGAACCACTCCGGGTGTGAGACTATCGTGCACGGGGCGCGCATAAGTCGAGCAAAAAGCATCCTCTCACGTACAGCCATGGCCCGGGGCATGAAGAACAGTTGTGCTTTATGGGAGAGCACGGGTAAGGCACGCTGCACATAAAGCTCTACGCATCTACCAAAATGGGCTCGTGAGCTGGCAATCTCAACGGTTCTCGACAGGAGCTTCTGGGCGGGTCCACTCCACTGATCCAAAGAAGTCGCCGCGGGATCGAGCCAGACTCCTAGATATATCAACTTGCCGACGATGTTAAAGGCAGCCCAATCAGCATCGGCTTCAGAGAGAACGGAGCGGAGGGAGGACGTCGCCGACTCAAGAGGTCCATCGAGAGGGACAGAATTGCACTTCGACGTTTTGAGTCTTAAATTCGCAAGAATCCCGGCAAGCGCGAATACACGGGCTAGCACGAAGTATCCCCGCCGCCTCCACACCACAACCCTCACATCATCAGCGCATGCCCGAGTGCAACCACGCTTTTTGGCACCTACATGCATGGTGATATCTTCAAGAAGCGGGTTAATCGCAAAGGTGAAGACTGTGCCGCTCAGAGGGCATCCTTGCGAAACCCCTGAATGCATCCAATAAACGAGCTCAAACATGCACGCGACGTCAAAGTAGCAAGGATTCAGGCGGTAGAACACAGACACTGCGAGGAGGAATCCCGACGGCAGCCTGTGACACCTAAGACTCATGAGCATCCACCCTTGCCTCACCGAGGGGAAGGCCTGCGCAACGTCGAACGACAGAAACGACGACGGCGACATAACAGCCCCAGGATCAACGGCTATCCCCTCGGACGGAGCAGCACGGCCCCACTGCGCCAGAACGTTCCGGGAAACGTCCGCCGGAACGTCCTGAGAACGCCCGCTGGAACGTCCGGATCCGCGCGCGTCTCCCGGCCGCGAGCGAAATGCGCACGAATTGATACTAGCCATGCGTGCTACCGTGTCGAGGTCAACGATGTTGTTAACAAAATTCCGCCCTGGGATGAACCCCCTCTGGCGTCGCGCTGCCAGCCCGCGCACAGCCGGGGTGATCGCTCGATTTTAAAAAGTGCCCCTAAAACTTTGTTGGCCGTATTTTTCAAACCTAGCGGGCGAGTATGCCCAGCAGATCTGGTGAGGGCCTCGAGCTCATCGGCTTCGCCTGCAACTGGTTTCGGGAGAAACACCGCTAGCTATTCTGAAAACCACAAGGGCATCGGGCCGCCAGCCATAATCCAGAGCAGACAATTGTAGAGAATCTGGGTTCCATGACCCACTCGCCAGGCCCGGAAGTGAAGACCATCGGGCCCCGGGGCACTATCGGAGAAGCGAGCGAGGAAGGAGCGGAGGAGCCGAAGAGTCGGGGGAGGAAGGGAGGAGAAATCACGGCTGGACTTGAACCGCTCAATAGATCTTTCGGCTGCCAGTGGAACGGGCGAGCACTCCTCGAAGACTGGGCGCCAATACTGCGTGAGAGCCTCGAGGTTACCTGCAGGGCCCACCGCGCTCGGCTCTGTAGCGCCAGAGCCTTCGGTTGCCGAGGTGATGCAGGCCAAATATTTTCGCCGTCGGAACGGCTTCCATAACTGAGCGCGCCGACCTGCCGCCGACTTCCTGCCAAGCGCGCGCTGGCGCCGCCCGGGGCAAACAGCTTCCTCGGCTTCCTTTTCAAGACGCTCCTTCCTACGGCGTGCCTCCTGCAGCTGGAGGCCGGCGTGCAGTTCGTTGAATTTGGCGGGGTCCGCTAGTGAAACCTCGCCGCCAGCCGAAACCAACAGCACAACTCTAGTCCAAGGGTGATGCGCGTGGAGAGCGCGTGCCAGCCGTGCATCCTGCCTATACAACGCTCTCGCAATAGACCGGGCCACCATCGCGCGCGACTCAAGACGGCGCGGCTGCTGCTCGAACTGCAAGTCGCGAGTCGCCACTCCCGCGAGCTGTCGACAGAGGACCGCAAGTCTCAGTTGCTCGGGCGGGTCGCAGAGTTCAAAATCGAGCTGAGCCTCGTAAGCGTCGACCATGTCAGCATACACAGGGGCCGAATAGAGGTGGAGAGGGAGGGGGCGAGGCCGATCCGAACGAGGAGGCGGGCGATCAGAGAAAACGAAGGAGACGGGGGAATGATCGCTGACACCACCGAGATGCAGCTCCTCAGGCTCGGCGTGAGACTGATCCGCCTGCCAGCCTTGGCAAAGAAGCCAAGGCGGGGTGGCAGTGAACGACCTGTCCACGCAAGCAGCAGATTTCGTCCCTGGGTGCCAGCACGTAGGCCGATTGCTCGAAATCTCTGTGAGCTGCCTCCAGAGTGCTCGCCACGCAGCGTCCCCAGGGCGGCTCTGGCCGATGGACGGCCCACTAGTGCCCGGCGCGGTCCGGGGAGCGAGGGCGCGCTCGCGCCCCGAATCGCAGATGTTAAAATCGCCCTGCAGCAGCAGGCCGAACTTAAAGGGAGCACTCCGCACCGTGGCAAGCTGTTGCCGAATGTGGGAGCACACGCGTTTGATAGCCTCAACACCTAGGTCGAAGTTGTGGACATTCCATTGCCACAAGCAAAAAGTTGAACGCACATCTATTATTTGGGTCAACAGGACCCTGCCGCGAACAAAAACTTCGGAAACTTCCAGGGGATTCGGCAGGGCCCTCGGGACCAAGGTGGCAACTCCACCCTTAGGAGTCCCGGCCTCGACCTCGAAAGGGCCAGGGTCCTCATCGAAGGACGCAAAAACTTGGTGAGTTAAACTAGCGCGCTGAATGGATTCGGCGACCACGTCGTGACCAGCGTGCGTCTCCTGAAGAGCCAGGACGGTGTAAGAAGAGGAGGGGAGGGAGGAGGAGGCCAGCTCAGATAGAAGCCGAAGCCGACGCGCAAGACCTTCAGGATCATGATGGCACAAGGCACGGCAAGGAGGAGGAGGAGGAGGAGGAGGAGGATCCGAGGGGCGGCTCGCCGCTCGGGGAAGGCGGGCTCCTCAGGAAAGCCTCCGTGGGCACCGCGATCAGCGACGTGCCCGAGTCCACGATGGCCTCGCTGTCCAGGGAGCCGCCGGGCCGCCCGCCGCGCAGGCGGAGGCGGCCGTGCCCGTGCCGAGGGGCCCGCCCTGGGCCGCCGTGGAGGCTGCTCCTCCTCCTGCTCCTCCTCCTCCTCCTCCTTCTGCTCCTCCTCCTCCTCCTCCTCCTCCTCCTCCTCCTCCTCCTCCTTGGCGGATGGCGGCGGGTGAGCGGGCCCGGACCTCCAGCGCAGGGGGCAAGATCGGGACGGGCCATTTCCACCCTGGTGGGCCTCGAGGTGGGGCCTCGCCGGGCCCCGGGGCCGTCCGAGGACGACCCGCTGGCCATCGCTCGGACGTCCATTCCCTGTGTTTTTTTCGGTTTCGTGCGTGGTTTTTTCGCCAAATGATCAAGGATGCTCCTCGATGGTCCTCGCCGAAGGAAAGATGCACGCGTCCGAGCGATGCCAAGCCCGTGATGGAACGCCGGCCCTCTGGGAGAGGGTCGGGGCTTCCGGGGCCCCGTGCTGAACGGAAGCAAGACGTCGGGTCTCCGGCGGGGGGGTGCAGAAGGGTTCGAGGATGAGGGGGACGAGAGGAGGACGATGATGATGCTGCTGATGATGACGATGACGATGACGATGACGATGACGATGACGATGATGATGCTGATGATGATGCTGCTGATGATGATGCTGATGCTGATGCTGATGATGATGATGATGATGATGATGATGCTGATGCTGATGATGATGCATATGCAGATGCTGATGCTGATGCTGCTGCTGCTGCTGCTGATGATTTTTTTTCATCCATCGACCTCAGGGAAAACAAAATCGCACACTATCTGTCTTGAGAGTGTGTGCTGGTCGTGTAAATAGAGGATTTCCCGTCGCAGGGCACGGTGACCCTAACTCGCGCGTCGGGGCGCGCCAGCAAGGCAGGGGGCTACGACGTGCGACAGCCTGCATTGCTCCACCTCTCGGCTATTCATTGAGATCCGAATAGTTGTGTGCAGAGATCGGGCACCGTGATGGCTGTCACGGAGTCTGCGCTTGAATCCCTGCGGAGCCCTAGAAGAAATCATTCGCTACTGCCTCGTCGGCTTCAAAAAGTTCATCCATCGTGTGTTCGGCTTCCTCGGGCTGCGGATCGAGCGGTGCACTGGGAACGGGCACAGGCACAGGAGTGGCACGGGCAAAGGGGCGCTGCTGGGCGCTCGCACTCGCTGGAGCGGAGCATGCACGGGAAACGGGCTGGAGGGCGAACGGAAATCGGGCGTGTCTCATGACCTCCGCGCCTGAGTATATTGTGCACGCGTCCGAGCTAGGAGGGAGGGGTGAAGCACTGCGAACAAATACGATGGGCCTGCTCCTCATTTCTGCAGCGTGTCCACCCAGCTCCCGAGCTCCTCCTCCAGCCACCCTGGCGGCGCGATCCCCGTCAGCACCTTGCCCACTCCCTCCGCCCTGAAGGCGGCCAAGATGGTCGGGCGAAGGTCGAAGGTGTTCATCGCGATCTGCACTTTCACGAAGTTCTTGTCGTGGCAGCTCTCGACGCGGAGGAAGGACACGTGGTCCTCTATGTCGCTCTTCGATACCAAGGGTTCCGTGTCTGCTGGCTGCACCTTCGCGAGCCATGCGTTCAGTGAGCCCCGTAGGGCCCCTCCCACGTCCGCGGCTGCCAGGCTCTCGACTAGGACGACCGTGAGCGAAGCCGTAGGAGGTCCGAGGGTCGCGAGCCTGCTCTTGTCGTCCTGGCGTAGCTGAGCGATCTCGCTTCGGTACTCGTCGAGTTCGTCCGCTAAGCTGGTCACTACTGGGTGATTGACGGGGAGCTGGATCGTGTCCATCGTGCTCGCGGCGACCATGCGGTTCTTCTGAGTCACCTGGAGCAACAATTTGGCCATGGTCAGCAACAGGTCGTGGATGTTGCGGTCCTTGCTCGTCCACTGCTTGTCGGAGTGGTTGCCGCGCCTGCGGCGGCCGCCGCGCCTCCTGCGGAGGGGGGCCTCCGCGGCCGCGGCCCCTCCCTCGTCCGCGTCCATGGGCTTCGGGGCGCCCTTGTCGCGAGTCACTGCCCCGCTGGTCGCTCGCTGCTTCGCCTGCGGCTGGGCGCTGCCGTCGTTGCCACCACTCCCACACGCAGTCGAGGAACGCTGCAGGCGCCACGGTGCTCTCGTCTTGGGTGTGGCCTCCGTCGGCAGCGCAGCCGCTGCCTCGCCAGTCATCGTGTCGAACGGGAGGTCGTGATCCAGGGCGCGAGGTCCGAGGGATAGGTGCTGCTGTCACTGGCGTCGCAGTATACGGTCCTCTCGAGGCTGCTGCAGTGCTCGGCCCGCTCGGTGCGCTCGGAGGTGGCGAACTCGGTCGGGAGGGTGCCGGTGTAGCTCGGCGCCTCGGAGGGCGCGGTGGAGCGTCCGCGGGCGGCGGTGGGACGCTGGTCAGCAGCTGCAGCGAGGCCGCCTGGACCAGGCGGCGGTTCTCGGCGTTGTCCTCAGCACGCCACGGCGCGCCGCGAGCAGCAGGCGGGCCGCCGAACTCGGCGGCGGGGCGGGGCGCCGCTGTCTCGCGGAGTCGGGTCTCGGCGTGGCTGGTACGAGTCCAAAGCCCAAATGGTGACGGAGGAATATGAAAGAGAACGTGTTCACGCAGCTTTTCGGGGTCGGGGTAATCTCGTCGGCAGCATTCAGAGGCAGCTTGTTCGTATAGCGGGCACACTCTGAGACGGGGCTTCTGCCAGTGATATTCGTGCCGTGTGAGTTCGGGGATACACCGACCCTGGAGCCAGGAGCGCTTATGATGACGTATGTTGTGATCTACAGACTGGAACACCGTGTCGCATACAAGACATTTGTTATCCACAGTGATGGTAGACAGGATGGTAGGGCAACCGTGGCCAGGGGACTGTGTATGTACCTGATGTGCGATCAGGGCGTGCATCGTGTTAAACTTCTTGCAGCACCCTTCCAGCCCGCATACGAACATCAATTCATCGTCATCTGAGTCGTCCTCCTCAATAGTCTGGTTCACCATGTGTGCTGCCAACGGGGAGTCTTGCGGGGGAGCCCACTCTCGAGCGAAGAACGTGGCACGCAGTGTCGTCATGTCCAGACTCCTGAAGATCTCATTCGATTCGGACTTCTGGAACAATTCACGAACCACTGGGGGCTGCCAACATTCTCGAAGGTCCTCGCCAAGAGGGTGATCAAGGAGACACTGCATATCTGCGCCGAACTGTCGAACCCAAGGGTGCGTGTCTGGATCCTGGTTAACTCTGCCCTCTGACGTGAGTGGGGAAGAAGCGCTCGTGCTCATGCGTACCTCAAACAAACAACGACCAAAGACAGCAGAGAGAAACTGGGCGTGATGCTGCGGTTCGGCTGCAATAGTCTGCCACCAGCCCAGCCTTCGGACCGTGAGCTCCAGCGCGGAGGGGGGGACAGACCAATACTCGAACACCTGTCGGGTCGTGAAGGAGTGGTGGCGGTCCTGGTCGTCGACGTCGTGGGCCCTCCCTCGCATCATCGCTCGCAGTTTTTTGCCTATGCTTCGGTCGAGTCGCTGTGTTTCACGGGGTAGAAGGACGTAAGATTCCAAGCCGCTCCAGATGCGTCCCGCTACGTTGGCTAGGAAGGTCATTCGTTTCGCACGCTCGGGCCCCGACGAGAACCAATATTGGCCTAATGAGCACCAGCCGAGGTTCCCAGCCTTCACACGTTCGGTAACTTCTTTCGAGTTCGAGCCGTTCACGTTGATGTAGCCTCCTAGATGAATAAGATCTGTTACTGGTCGTCCACTAAGTTGTTTTTCGGCGGCTCGAGTAGCTTGTACTGTTCGTAGTCGGACTAGGGTATCTTGTTTAGAAACATTTTGGACGTACCCCTCGGTCTCGAGCTCCTGGTTAAGGATCGTGTTGTCAAAGCAGTCTAAGAGGAGGGCGTTCTTAACTGAGCCCTCGGGGACGACAAAAACCTGGATCAAATCATCGATGAAACTGCCCATCCCTACGTCCTGGACCTGGTCGGTGATCGGGCACTGGGTCTGGAAAAGGGGGCCTGTGATGTTGGCCATCTGCTGCCTCCAGCGGGTGACGGGCTTGTAGAAGGCCTGCATAAATAATTCTGGTTCATTCGAATCTCCCATACGTCCCCCCGAGCGCGGATGAACGTGTACTGGGGCGTCGGCAGCATCAACACGGATGATAGCCTGGGCACGGTAATGTTCAAGGACCGTGGAGAAATGTCGGGTGGGTTGACGCTCACGGTGTGCCTGCACAAGTCCTTCCACTTTTCCTGTGCCGAATGCGTTTCGCATGTCATATGATTTAAGCATGAACCCGAGCTTGTGGTGAATGCATTTCCATATGAGTATTCTGATGATGGTCATGAGAGCTTCACGCCGGCGGTGACGGATGCCACCGTACGCCCAGTCGGGGGGGTCGAACTCTGAACCATATACTAGAAGACCGACTCGAAGATAGGATCGCCAGAAAGGGCAGAATACGTGAATCATGCGTAGGACCTCATTGATATCGTTTGCTGCATTGCCTGTCGGGGCCTTATTTTTCTTGGGGATCATGATGCCGTGACTTGTGTATGCGTGTTGCGGTAATCTGTATGTTGCACGTACATGTGATAATACCCGATGTAATGCGTCCCGACCTGCTTCAGCAACTGCCAAGCTGAGACCCTGAAGTGTTCGCTGGTCAGGGCGTCGGGGGGGGTGGCGATCGTCCCATCCTAGTCCGTGAATGATGTACTGTCCCTCAGGGTGTCCAATGCCCAAGGTGGGCAAGCCGGGCTTGGTGAGGGAGTTAGGGCAAAGGATCATCTGGGTGATTTCCTGGGGCCAGGACCAGGGAGGAGAGTAGCGGCGGTGCCGCTGCATGCCCATGCGTTCTGAGATGAACCGCAAGTCGTCGTGGGCCTGGGTCTCGTCCTCGGGCGCTGGGTCCTGACACTCGGTGCCTACTGGGTAAATCTGGTCCAGTGGGCGGGCGAGGAGGGAGAGGATAGCGTCATCGTCTGTCATGTACATGCTCGCATACGCTGGCTCTGCTGTTAATCCTCCTTCTCCTCCTGCTCGTGCAAGTGCTGTGCGAAAGTCCTGCGCTAGAGGTCGGGCCGACGGTAGTGATAGATAAGACCGTTTCCGAGCTCCTGTACGCGTGCCTGCACGTAGTCTAGCAAGGTCGGCGACACGGGCTGTTTCTCGTTTAGCCCAGGCATCTCGGAGGTCCTGCTCTACTGAGTATTGCCACCATTGGTGTCGCCATTTGGTGAATCTCTTGAGGTCGGCCGAGACTGCTTTGAGTTCTGGGTCCTGCGTCCGTATGCCACAACGTTCCTTCAGATCTGCTCGCTTGCGCAACAAGAATAGTCTCCTCTTCCTCCCCTCCTTGACCCATGCTGGTGTGGAGGCGACTCTGGAATAGTACTTATAGGCCGTAGTCCGTATGATATGACTGACCACTGCCGTGTGCCGAGTGGGGTCATCGTCCTTCTTAATAATGTTCAAGACGGGGGTCGCCGACGAGAGCTGGTTGTGCAGGTCTTCTAAAAATTCACGTCTAGAGTGGCCTACTTGGAGTCCCGCGGCTAATAGGCCCCAGTCCCAAACATAATACCCCGTTTGCGATGCTGGCGGTGGTGCAGTGATCGACAGCTCTAGGGCCATCGGGATATGGTCTAGCATATGTGGTAGTACTTGCGTGCGACGATGAGACCTCCAACACATATACATCCTCGAGACACGTTGAAGAAGAGGTTGAGGGACAACAAAATAATCAATACGTGAGCGAGCGTTCTTATTTCCAAAGAAAGTGTAACCCAGATCGTAGAACGTATTTACTGCAGCCTGGTCATTTTCGAGAAGGGTTTTATGAACTAAACGGCCGATCTCATTCTCAGCGCTGGCCTGAAAAGATCCGATACTTGCATCATCTGCGAGCTTGCCGCCCTGCCTGCCTAGGCCCGCGTTGAAATCTCCAAACATAATAGGGACGAGTCGTGCCGGGGTTGAAGACGCTTGTCGGGTAACCCACGAGAGTATTCTAGTGTAGGTAAGCTTCCAGTGACGTATCTGATGACGAGCCGAGGGTCGAGGAGGCATATATGCAACTATGATTCGCACACGGAAAGATCCTTGAACGATATCGATAGTGCCCGCACGGCCCTGAAGTTCAGCTGGTGGGTGGTCAATTCGTACAACGTCCTGGGGCCTGAACCTCTGGCGGTTCAAACCTATGCTACAACCCGCGGAACTGTTACTCATGGCGCCCCTGCCCCAGCCAAAGTGGATCCAGAAATGGGAACGAGAAGTGTCGTGATGGTGGGGAGTGTGCATTTTTTGCCGTATTTTGGTTCCAGGGAGGAGGAGGAGGTGGAAGTTCGAGAATTCCTGGCTAATCTCCTCCATGCGGTTTGTACCTTGCAGCGTGAACGGGTTCCAACCTAGGATCTTCAGGGGATGAACTTCTGTATGGGCGCCTAGTCTGGGTCGATCTGCGTGTGCTGTGTCGTGCGCTGCTGCTGGATCATCCTGCTCTGCTGGTACTCCTGCTGCTGCCGCTGCTCCTCCCTGTTGTGCTGCTGGTTCGGCGGCTTCTGCTGCTCCTCCCCCCCCCCCTTGCAGCTCGGCGGTAGCCGAGGGCGAAGGCGGTGCGGCACGGGCCGCACGGAGCCCCCGCCGCGGCGCCGCCCCGTCGGCGGTCCGCTCCGTGCCCTCCCCCATCGCGCCTGGCCGCGCGCGAACGCGTGGGGCCGCGACATTGGCGGGGGGGATCGAGCGTGACGGCCTGCTGCTGCTGATGATGATGATGATGATGATGATGATGATGCAGATGCTGATGCTGATGATGCATATGCAGATGCTGATGCTGATGATGACGACGATGCTGCTGATGGTGATGATGATTCTGATGATGATGATGATGATGATGATGATGATGCTGATGCTGTTTCTGCTGATGATGATGACGATGATGATGTGGAGGAGAGGAAAAGGAGGATACATCTAGCACAACCAAGACCTCGTGGGTCTTGAATGTGCTGCTCTTCTTGGAAGGCGGAGCCGTGGGCACAAGGGGGCTGCCACGAGCGGCGACCCCGCGCGAATGGGGAGGGGGGGCACAGAGGGCCGAGCCGCGACAGAGGGCGCACACACGTGCGGGCGGGTGGTTGAACCACTGGCCATCGCACGGACGTCCATTCCCTGTGCTTTTTTCGGTTTCGTGCGTGGTTCTTTTCGCCAAATGATCAAGAATGCTCCTCGATGGTCCTCGCCGAAAGAAAAATGCACACGTCCGAGCGATGCCGAGACCAGCGAAACAGCAAACAAACAACGCACACGGGATGGGCAAACCAGGGGCAGCAGACCACTCTCCCCGAGCCTGTGACCCCCCCCCGCCCTCTGACGTCGGCTGCCCTCGGCCCCCGCGGTGCCGTGGCCGACCCCGTGCTCGCGCGGGGCCAGGCCCGGGCGCGTGCGCGTGCCCCGCAGGTCGGCCAAGCTCGGAGGAGGCCAGATCCGAGACGCAGCCAAGACCCAGACAAAAGGCGCCTCGACAAGAAATCACGACGGAAGTGTTCCATTGCTCTCGGGCTCTTATGGGCCGTGCCGGGCTTCGGGACCGTCAAGAAACGACTCGGGATGAAAAGCCGGTCCTGGGGAGGTGGTCGGGACGTCGGGGGCTCGTCTCGGAAAAACCGGGGCGCCAGCTGTCGAGGAGTCGAGGGAGCTCTCCGAGACCTGGCGACTCCTCAGAACTCCAGCGATGCAATCTGTCCCCGATGTCAGCCCTGGGTCGCAGTTTTCGGCCATCGGAAGAACACCGCGGGGCCGCGGATCGGAAACATCTGATCGGCGGATGTCAGGGTCTGGTCCCGTAGCGCTCGGGCTCTCTGACAACGTTCCAGGGCACCCTGGGGGGCGATCTATCCTCGCCCCCGCCCCGCCAGGGACGCAGAGGAGTGGCTGTGCACCCCCAGTGGAGCCTCTGGTCGTGGCCTTCTGATGGGCGGTGGGTGGAGGTATGCGTCAGCGGGGCGCGATCTGTGGCAAAACGTGCGCCTCCTTTTTTTATTATTCATTTATTTATTTATTATTATTACTATTATTATTACTATCATTATTATTATCATTATTATTCTCATTATTATTAGTATGATTATTATTATTATGATTATTATTATTGTTATTATTATTATTACTAATATTATTACTGCTATTATTATGATTACTATTATTATGATTATTATTATTGTTGTTGTTATTATTATTAGTATTATTATTATGATTATTATTATTATCATTATTATTATTATTAGTAGTAGTAATATATATACACGTACATATACACGCACAAGATTCGAGGGCTCGCTTCGCTTAGCCTCCATCTTGGCCCTGCGTCCCCGCACTCCCAACCGCTCGGTGAGTGGGTGGTGGGTGGAAGCAGGCGGTGACCACGATGGGGGGTCGCGGTCCTCATCCCCCGGAAGGGGGGCCGCAGGCGGGCCCTCTGCCCGGGGCGAGGGAGGGCGCCGGCGCGACGGGGCCGAACTCACGCGTGCGAGGTGGGAGGCAGCGGTGTTGCCGCGGGGGGGGGGGCTGCGGTCGTGACGTTCGAGGAGCACTGCCGCCCGCGTCGGCGGGGTGAAGAGCAGGAGCGGGCGGTCCGCAGCCAGGGCGGCGAGGGCGAAGAGGAGGAGGGGGGCGAGAGCGGCGAGGCGGGCGGGCACGGCGAGGCGGGCGGCCCCGCGGTCGCCAGGGAGGGAGGCAGGGTCATGACGGGATGCTCCCGCCGACCACGGGCGAGCCGATGTGACGACCGCGAGAGGTGGGTGAAGGTCGTGAGGTCGGACAGCCACAGCCGTGGGTGCGAGTGGGGGCCGCGCGCGTTGGGAGCGGGGTGGGTGTGAGGGCCGTCGGAGAGGGGCAGGGGTCGGCGCGACGATGGGGGCGACGCTGATGACCGCGAAGGGGGGCGGAGGTCATCGTTCGGAGGAAAGCTGGGCGGCGAGCGCCACCTCGAGAAGAGGGGGCCGCCATGAACAGTTCTCTGGTGGTGAAAGCTTCAGAGCCCCTCACGTGCCTTTGGGTCCTCTGCGCCGTGTAAGGACCTCTTGCTGCTGCTGTTGCTGATATGTTGAAGCTCATTCCCGTCGTGGTGGTCGCAGGGGTGGTGCTGGTGGTGCCGAGGCTGCCGAGAGCGGTGCTTCGGACAATTGCCGTGCCTGGACCTCCCGGGCACGCATCAGCAAAAACGGTTCGACTGCGGTCAGGAACTTTTGCTTTATTAGCGTGTCGCGGCGGCGGCCCCCGCGACACGCTATGCCCTGTAAGCGGATGGCATGTCGCCCCGCTCCGCGGGGCGGGAGGCTTGGAAAACTCGGGATGTGGATGCCTGGGGACGCGTCCAACTGCGCCGACAAGGGGCCTCCGTGGCGGCACCCAGACGGAAGAAACAGATAGACTCAATGCGTAACAGGTCCCTGACATTCCGCATCACATCTACGGCTTCTTCCGGTTCCCACCACAGATGCCATCTGTGGTGGGAACCAGAAGAGCCTAGAGCCCAGGGGTCTAGTCGACCACGACGAAGACCTGCCCAAATGAACTCCAAGCGGTCCTTGAAACGCCCAGAGGTCGCCCTCATGAAGCCTCACTCAGATCCACAGACGTCTCAAGGAGGCCCTGAGGTTGTCCTACAGGTCGCCGAGTCAGACCTTGACTGTCCAGAGGGCTTCCGAGGGCTCACGTGGAGGTGCTCTCGGGGACGCGAGGCAAAGCACCTGGGGGCTCGCGAGAGAGAGGGGATACGCGCCTTGCATTCAATAGCAACGATGCGGATACACGATTACGATGCACGGCGGTGCTCTGCAGCCACGCATCTGGAATACCGTGTCGCTCCCGACTGTGACGCTGTCAAGCTCGACCGTCCAGTAGGCGTAGCGCAACTCCAGCGGCCCACAGCCGGCCTGGCGTTGGAACTCGGAACCCCGCCTCCTCGCCTGCCTGCCTGTCCCGAGGGGAAAGGGAAAATCATCCTCGAGTGCTCCCCAAAATTGAGCAGCGACCGACCGTCCCGGCATTCCTATAGGCCTACCACGACATGTTCTCTTAGAGCCCCCACATGTTCGAATTGCAAAAGCAATGTTCCCAGAAAGTCAACACGATGTACCATGACAAGACAGTTCCAGCCCGAAAACTTCTGAGAACACTTTTCTGGAAACCACGAAAGGTTCTTAGAACATTGTTTGGTGGGCCTATAGGTACGCCGGGACGCTTCGCCACTGCTTGACAAAGGGGGGGTCGAAGGATTTGGAGGGCAGGCTACGCATCAGGCGGTCTGTTTCCAGGCCGCCAGCATTGGCGTGGCCAGGGACGGGCTGCACCTCCATGTCAGCGGGGCAGCGCGATCCACATCGCCCGCCGTGGCGCCAAACTGTAGGTCCCCGCAGCCCCTGGCCAATCCCGTGAGGCGGCGGCGGCCCATGCCGATACTCAACTGCGGTACCTGCCTATACTTAGGACGGGCATGTCCTCCTACAGGCGGATTTCGAGCGGAAAAAAATGGCAAAACATGCAAACAAATATTCGAACAATCGTCGCCATATTATCTTTTGACCATTTTTGAATACTCCTCCTGTAGAAACACATTCCCGACTTACGCTTGTACCCGAGGGCCCGCCCGGCACAGGCTGGGCTCAGTCTGGGCGGGGTGAGCTGGGCGAAGCGGTATACGTCGTTCATTTCTAATCGTGCTCATTTCTAATTGTGCTCGTTTTCAATTGTTCCTGGCCCCCTAGTGGCCAGGAAGAGGCCCAGGATAGAACTTTTAGAAATGACAGGATCTTGCCCCCCCCCCAAAATCAAAGAACTTTCGAATAATTAGGCATGAACAGTGTGTACACTGGCGCGCAGCCTGGGCTGCCGCGGAGGTCAAGATGCCCTGCGGGCCGCTCTCTCTCTCTCTCTCTCTCTCCTCCAGACCCGCGCCAGCATAAGGTCGCCGGCTGCTGCACCGCGACCCGAGGTCAACAATGCTCCGTGCCCCAGAAGGGTATGACCTCCTCGACCCTTCAGAAGACCGCGTCGCAGCGTGCAGCTCTCTGGGGCCTAGGGGCGCGAGATCTCACCCATTCAGCCCGGTCTAGGCGCATCTCCAGAGGTGGCAAGACCAGACCGTCGGGCTGGCACCGTGGTGGACCTTGCCGCTTGCACTCGGACGAGCCCCTGGGTGTTCTCAAACTTGGGTTGCAGGTGCGGTGTTGTTGGCAGTTGACTGCGTTCGATCACAGCCGTGGGCCTGAGGTGCGGCGGTGCTCGTCACATCTGTGCGTTGCGCCTGCGGGGCTTCTGAACCCCTGCGGGGCTTCCAACCCCGCCTTCCGTGCAGCCCCAAGTCACTCTGCCTGGGCTTCCTTCGGGCGAGGTCCTCGTGAGGGCCTTCGCCGCTGCTAGCATGCTTCTCTCTGGGTGCTCTCAGATGTGTGGCTCTCGCCACCTTCGGAGCCCCCGGGGAGGCCCGTGGGGCGTCCCAACGTACAACCCGAAGTATCGACGACTTGCCGCCCGGGCTGCTCCCAGACGTCACGCGTCGCCACTTTCATGGCCCTTGGGCGGGGGTCCAGAGTGTCCACCCCCCGCTGCCCCACCGATCGACTCCGAGGTGCGCACCTGACGTCGACGTCGACCTGCCGACGCTCTGGGAATCCCGTGGGGTGCCCCCACGACGCGGATCCAGACCCCGATCAAGTTAAGACAATCAAGCCGTAAGATCAATGCATGTTGATGTACTTTTTGCCAATATCGGGCTGACGTTTCGTCCCTTGCGGGACTCTTCGGAGTCGAACTGACTACTGACAATATGCATGCAAAAGGGTATGGGATCATTGCCCCGACACGTGCGCAAGGCGTCACGAGGGAAAGAACAAGGCTTCATGGCTCGGGACGTGTTGGGTGTGTATCTGGGAATTTGGCTCGGCGGGCGCGCGGCGGACCAGCCCAGCATCTTGCACGTGCACGTGCAGCCACGCCCAGCTCTCGACAGCCTCAAAAAATCTGCGTGGGCAGGCAGCAGCGTCCGAATTGTAACAACGGTGAGCGCCGGCGCGCAGAGATTTCGCGGTGACACCCCTGCGCGGCTGGCCCCGACGGCCCGATTAGAAGCGCGGGTGGGGGGCGCGGGGGGGGAGGGACCAGCTAGTGTTAGGTCGGGCATGTCCTCCTGCAGGCGGATCTCGGACGAGCAATTAAACACAGCCAAACACGTTCAAGCATAGTCAGCAGAGTACGAACAGTCGTCACTGGACTGTTTTCTGACTGTTCTTGACTGTTCCTCCTGTAGAGGGATATGCCCGACTTCAAGATAGTGAGTGGGGTTGACAAGGGGGGGCCGGCTGGGGGGGGAGGCAATGACCTGGAATCGGCGATGCATTGCTGACTGAGCAGCGATAGACCCCCCGATGGTCAAACCGCGCGTTACGGGGCGTGGTACGGGGCCTAGGCCCCGATCGGTGATGAATGGGCGATTGGTGGTCGATTGCAATGGAGGCCAGTCCACAAGAGACCTTCCCCAAGAAACCCAACCCTGAGAACCCAAGACGTCCATTGATTTTTGGTGTGGGAACGTCGCGTTTTCCATGGCAAAACCATCGAATATCAAGAAACCTGGGGCACCCTGGAGGCAAGCAAGGTGTTTCTTGGCATGGGCCCCCGCTGTAGAACAACGCGCGCGGAGCGCGCCAGGGGCGGCGCTGGAAGCGCCGCCAAGGGGGGTCTAGCGCCGATCCAAGAAATCCCTGTGGACCTCCGACAGTTTACGCTCATGCTGTTTTTTCTGCGCCGATCGATTCTCCCCCTCCCCCCCGGACCAGTCCCCCCCCCGTCGTTGCCCCTCATCGGAGGAAGAGGAGACTGTGCAGGAGAGGGCCCGCTCCTGGAGGCTTGGAAATTGGCATCAACACCAACACAGGGGGGCGCCTCCACCAGGTGAAGATGATCATGGTGTTGGTGGTAATCCTTCGGCCTCCTAGGAGCCCAGAATATTACCGCCATCCCCGAGATCGGGATCGTCTCCCCTCGGTGGAGGCACACCGCCAGTCGTGATGCTGTTGCCAACCTCTGGGCCTCCGAGAAGAGGAGACCGTGCAGGCGAGGGCCCGCTCAGCGGCGCCCCTGCCTGCCAACACCCGGGGGGGCCCGGGGGCGGCGCCCGTCGGGCACTGCCCCGGGCGCCCTCGCACCGGACGGGCCCAACTCGGGCCCCGCCTTGCACTGCAGCGGCCGCGCGGACTGCTGGTGGGGCTGCTGCGACCCAGGCTTACCAGACCAACACTGCTCCACGCCCGCCTGCACGCCTGCATGGCACTGCTGCAGCCCTGCCCGGCACTGCTGCAGGCCGGGCTGGCACTGCCCCGACCAGCACTGCTCCGCGCCAGCCTGCACGCCTGCCTGGCACTGCTGCAGCCCGGGCTGGCACTGCTGCAGCCCGGCCGGCACGACGGACCGAACCCACTCGCCGCCGTGCTCGAGACGGGTGCCCAACCACGCGGCGCCATCCAAGCACTGCTGCAAGCCGCCCTCCAGCGCCTCCGTGGTGAGTGCCGGCCGGGCCCGCTGGGCCGCCGAGAGGTGCCACGCCGCGGCGCCCATGGCCACCAGGGTGAGGGCCCCGACGACGAAGAGCGCCACGCCGAGCGCGCCGGCCCCCGCCCCGCCTGCCGCGTCCGAGTCGCCCCGCCGCAGGCGCACCAGGAGGCCTCGCGTCACGCGCCCGCCCGCGGGGGAGGCGGGTGGGGGTGGCAGCGCGCCGAGGATGTCCAGCTGGTCGGGGGCCGCGCCCAAGTCGGCAGCGAGAGGGCGAGAAGCTCCCGCCTCGAGCGGCGCCAGGCTGAAGCCGCCGAAGGCGACGGAGGCGGGGCACTGCAGCGGGTGGTCGGACTCGCAGGGTCCTCTGCCGTCGTCTCCCTTTCCGTCCAGCCACTGCAGGCTGCTCGAGGACCAGTAGCTGGCTACCAGGGTCACCCCTCTGGCGAGCGTGTCTCCGATCTCCTTCATCCTTGAGCCAGCGGGCAAGAACAAGTCCAGCTGGCATGGGTGGCCGTCTTGCGAGAGGCGGATGTCAACGCCTGCCAGAGCCCCCGCGGCGTCGACAGGGAAGGATGCCGCCACGTCGAAAGGTTGGGAAGTGTCTACGCACTCCCCCCCTGGCCCATACTGGAGCCCGCCGAAATCTCGGGGCCCGTTCCCGATGTCGCTGCCGCCATAGCCGGCCGAATGACCATCTGGGTCGTTGGCCTCGTGCAGGGTCGAGTGCCAAGCGTACTGGTTGGCCTCCTGGAGGTCGATCTCCGTGCACGAAGTGCCGCAGACGTCAGCGGAGTCGCAGTAAAAATCGCCGCAGTCTCCAGCCTCCTGGTTGTGCCGCATGGGCACCAAGTACAGCGCGGCAACGCAGCCGCACCCAGCGCCAGACACATTGACGGTGTACCGCAGCGTCTTCCCCAGCACCTCCAGCGACAGGTACTCCTCGCGCCTGTACGCCCCGGCGGAGCACGCCTCTGCGAAGTAGGCACGCGCGCCCATGTGCGGTGCCAGGGTCCCCCCGTCGCCCACGGTGACGAGCGACCTGAAAAGAGCAAACACCGGCACACGCAAAACCCTCGGAGGTGCGCTCGAGCTTCTCGGCTCAGCGCCGGGGCCCTCTCCCTGGCGGCGGCCCTGGAGGCGCCGCCCGGGGGGGGGCCCAGCGCCGAGCCGGGACTTCCGAGCGGATCTCTGAGCCTTTGTATCTGATATGCCCATGCAGCTCTTTCTCCCTGTCACGACCTATCCGCCGTGTCCTGAAGACGAAGTCAGGACGAGGATCAGTCCTACCTATACGACCACCCTTCGGGTGATAAGGAGGTTGTGGGGGGGAGAGGGGGGGAACCAACGTCTGACTCAATCGATCTCACGATCGATCTCACTCAACGGGACACCAAGTGACACCACGGGACGCTTGTCGATCTCACTATCGATCTCACTCAACGGGACACCCCTGGACACCACGGGCCACCACGGGGCACCACGGGACACCACGGGGCACCTCTCGATTCCACTATGGGTCTCACTATCGATCTCACTATCGATCTCACTCAGCGGGACACCATAGGACACCACGGGACACCTCGGGACACCACATCGATCTCACTATCGATCTCACGATCGATCTCACTATCGATCTCACTCAGTGGGACACCACGGGACACCGTCGGGGCACCACATCGACCTCAGTATCGATCCCACTGTCGACCTCACCCAGCGGGACACCACGGGACACCACGGGATACTTGTCGATCTCGCTATAGATCCCACTATCGATCTCACCCAGCGGGACACCACGGGACACCACGGGACACTTGTCGATCTCACTATCGATCTCACTCAACGGGACACCCCGGAACACCACGGGCCACCACGGGACACCATGGGACACCGCGGGACACCTCTCGATCTCACTATCGGTCTCACTATCGATCTCACTCAGCGGGACACCATAGGACACCATGGGACACCTCGGGACACCACATCGATCTCACTATCGATCTCACGATCGATCTCACTATCGATCTCAACGGGACACCACGGGACACCTCGGGACACCTGTCGATCTCAGTATCGATCATCCTATCGATCTCACTATCATTCTCACTATCGGTCTCACTATCGATATCACTACCGATCTCAGCACGTGAAACCACGGGACACATGTGGGACACCGACGGGACACAATCGATCTCACTGTCGATCTCACTATCCATCCCACAATCGATCTCGTTATCGATCTCACTATCGATCTCGCTTCCGATCTCACTATTCATCTCACTATCGATTCCACTATCGATCTCGCTATCGATCCCACTCGATCGATCTCACTATCGATATCACGATCGATCTCACTATAGATCTCACTATCGATCTCTCACTGTAGATCTTACTATCGATCTCACTATCGGTCTCATTATCGATCTCACTATCGATCTCACTATCGATCTCACTGTCGATCTCACCACGGGACACCACGGGACAACGACGGGACACCGGCGGGACACCAGCGGGACACCGAGAGACACCAGTTGCAGGCCGGAGAACCGTTTGGTCTGGCCGCGGCCCAGCCACGACGGGACACCAGCGGGACACCTGCGGGACACCAGCGGGACACCGGCGGGACACCGCGCGCCACTGGTTGCTGGGCGGAGAGCCTTTTGGTCCAACCGCGGCCCAGTCACAGGAGAATTTCCTCACCCCCGCCCATGCAGCTTCGCCTCGCCCGCACGCACGGCACGAACACGAAGCCGAAATCGATTTCCCGGTAGGGGGGCTCTCCGTTCCACTTCGATCTCACCCCCCAACCTCCGACCAGCCCTCTGGGCGTAGGTGGTCTAGGAAGCTTTCTCTTCCAACCCCCTTCTTCCCCTTCGGGGAGGGGTTTATCCGTGGACGGGGCGCCCCGCGAGACGTTGGAGCGTCCAAGATGGCCCAAGATGGCTCCAATAATACCTCGGAGAGTCCAAAATGGCCTCCAAGCAGGCTCAAGATGGCTCCCAACATGCTCCAAGAAGCCTCAAGACCGCTCCAAGACGTGTCCAAGTGGCCGGATAGCTCCCCAAGGAGGCCGCTAAGAGGCCAACATCCTTCCCAAACCTTAGGACAATCCATGCTTTTTGCTTTCTCGCCTTTTCGCTTCTGATGGCCTTCCGAGGCCTCCTTAGGCTGGCTCCTAGATGGCCCAAGGGAGCTCCACGAGGGGCTCAAGAGGCCTCCAAGACGGCCCCAAGAGTGCCCAAGAGCGCTCCAAGAGCGCCCCCAGATCGCCCCAAGAGGCGATTTCTGGGGCTCCCGAGGGGGCGGGGGCCTTAATTGAAGCACCACTCTTTTTGTATCGATGTCTTCCAAGATGGCTCCGAGAGCGTCCCTAAAGCTCCCAAGAGCGCCCCAAGGGGGCCCCAAGAGGCGCCCAGACGGCTCCAAGAGGCGCCCAAAGGGCCTCCAAGATGCTCCCAAGAGACCCCCAAGAGGCCTCAAGAGGATCTCCGAGGCACCCAAGACGCTCAAACGACGGCCCTGGGTCCACCAAAATCTCACCCCCAGACGCCCCAAGGGGCCCCCGAGACTGCCAAGAGGCATCCAAGACGGCCTAAGAGGCTTCCAAGGCAGCCAGCCCCCCGGGCGTCCAAGAAGCTGCTGGCCTTCTGCTCGCTCTCTTCCTCCTCCTGCTTCTCATCTGCCTATTCCTTCTCCTTCTATCCCTCCTCCTCCTCCTCTTCTTCCTTCTCCCCCTCCTTCAGTTACTCCTCCATCCTCCTCCGCATTCGACAGTTAACGGCTGCACCCTATCTTCCTCCTACGCTTCCCTGGCCGCCCCTAACTCTCTTGGGCATCGTTTCTGGATGGGCCGGCGGGGCTGCGCGAAGCGCCAACAGTTCGGGCGAGGACACACCGAGCACCTCTGAGACCTGGCGGCTCTGGAGGCTGCCTCGGGCGCCGCGGCCTCCTCGCAACGCCCCGGGGAACGCTCCGAGCCCAGAGATCCGATGTCGTGATTTTTTCCATACGGGGCCCCCAGAAGTCTCGACCCATTCCCCAGGACCGGTTTTTCATCCTGAGTCGTTTTTTGACGGTCCCGGGCCCGGGCGAGGGCCGCCAGAGGCCGAAACTCGGGAAAAACCTCCGTCTTGATTTCTTCAGTGCGTCGGAGGTCTGGGAGGCGCTCCGAGATCGGACTCCTCTTCGCCCCGGCCCCGCCCGCTGTCCTGCCCCTCGGCCCAGCCGGCGGGCACGATCGCCGCCGGCCCGTCGAGGCCCCGGAAGGCCACGCGGCCGGGGCACGCGGACGGCGGCGCCCCGCGGCCCTCCGCGCCCCGCAGCAGCGCCAGCAGGCACGCCGCCGCCACGGGCGCCATCCTGCGCTCGCGAGGGGCGCCGGCGGGCCGCGCGGGGGGGGGCACGCGCCCGGGGCCCGCGGGCGGCCGCTCTTTGGGGCGGCCGCCGCGGCCGCCGCGGCCTTCGGGCCAGCGGCCAGGCGCGGCAGCTGGAGCCCCGGCGGCCACGGGCCCCTCCCGAGGATGCCGGAGGTCGGCGGCGAGGAGCGGGGGCGGCGAGCGGCCCTGTGGCCAGCGGCCAGGCGTGGTGCCCCGGCGGCCACGGACCCCTCCGGAGGACTCCGGAGCTCGGGGGCGGCGGACAGCCCAGGGGGAGAGCAGTGCATGCACGGCAGGCTCGCGTCGTGTCGACAGCGGCGTTGGTTCGCGACACCGCGGGGATCGTTCCACCTTGAACGATCGGCCGTCCCCGAAACGTCCGATCGTTCAACATCGACGGATTCTAGGTCGCCAGCGGCGTTCAACTTCGAAAGCCAGCCGCGGGGTCGCCGCCGGTCGACACGACGCGAACCTACCGCATCCAAGGTCACCGATGGTCCATGCCTTCAGCGAGGCTCTTGGGCGAATATATGCAGATACATACATGTGTGTGTGTATGTATGTATGTATGTATGTATGTATGTATGTATGTATGTATGTATGTATGTATGTATGTATGTATGTATGTATGTATGTATGTATCTATGTATCTATGTATCTATGTATCTATGTATGTATGTATGTATGTATGTATGTATGTATGTATGTATGTATGTATGTATGTATGTATGTATGTATGTATGTATGTATGTATGTATGTATGTATGTATGTATGTATGTGTGTATGTGTATATGTATATGTATATGTACATATATATATATATATATATACACACTCTTCGAATATTCTTATAGCGGAAACCCCCTGACCCCCCCCGTACATAAATTCGGCCTTGGGCGCTCCCACCGACGTCAAATTCGAATTTCGGTTTCGGGAGCCTCTCCCGGCCATCCCTGGACGGTTCCGCAAAGCCCCAAGGCGGCCCAAGACCGCTCCAGAACGGCTCATGAGCGCTCGAGGCCTCAAGGTGGTTTCAAGACGGCCCAAGATGCTCTCAAGACGCCCCGAGATGCCCCCACGTAGACCCCCCAAAAGTTAGAATCGTCCCACTCCTTTCGGAAAACATGCGTTTTTAGCATATCCACTTCTTTGGCCTTCGCCACGTCCAAGACGGCCCAACAGGCCCCCAAGATCGCCCCAGGACGGCCCAAGAAGTCCCCAAGGGAGCCCCAAGACAGCCCCAAAGGGCTCCAAAACGACCCAAGAGAGCCCCAAGACGGCCCCAAAGAACACCAAAAGGCCTCCCAGAGAGCCCCAAGAAGGCCACAGGAGGCCCCCAAGAAGAACTAAGAAGGCCCCAAGACGGCCCAAGCCCCCCAGGACGGCCCAAGAGGGTCCCGGGACGGCCCAGGAGGGCCGCCAGACAGCCCAAAAGAGCCTCAAAGGAGCCCCACGAGAGCCCCGACAGGCCATACCTCTATCAGCCATATGAGGCCTGTCGGCCCCACAAGCCCTACGACCACTGTGGTGCCTCATGGTGCCCCATGAGCCCTGTGAGGCCTGGGAACCATAACACCTCCAGAGCTCTTACCCCCACGCGCCGCGAGACCCCGAAGGGCCCCCCCAACTCATTGTCCAGACCACTGGTGTGCCGCCATGGACGGTGCGGCGGCGTGCGCGCGTTGGCTATTCACCGTCGGTAGAGCTCCTTGTGGGGTGCGGTCCATGTGAGGGGACATTCGGCACGCGCGTGGGGGCGTCGCGTTCTGCGGATCCTCCCAGGGAGACGGATCACAATTGCCCCACGAGGGCCACGAGACGGCCGAAGGTGCCCCACTGCGAATCCTCCACTCAGAGCCGCAGGTGAAGCCCGCTCTCCTGGGGGAGAGGCACACAAGGAGAGGAGAAGGAGCAAGGATGTCGAAGGAGGAGGAGGAGGAGGGAAACAAGAAGAAGCTGGACGAGAAGGAAGAAAATCCACCATCCAAACTGGAGGATGCAGTTCTCCACGTTTCTGCCTCTCGGGACCGTTCTCGGACCACCCGTCCAAAGTCGATCTGGCATCGGGGACCGGTTCTGACCCGATGTTGGTCGTCCACGGCAGCAACCAACGAACAACAGTCATTCGTTCTAGCGAGCTCGTTGTTACTACTACTTGCGCCGCAGCACCATTGCCCTATGAGCCCTATGAGCCCTATGGGCCCCATGGGCCACATGAGCCCAATGAGCCCTATGAGCACTGTGAGGCCTATGAGCTTTAGGAACCCTATGGGCTATATGGGCCGCCGTACGAACCCTATGAGCCCTATGAGCCCTAGGAGCTCTGTGAGCCCCATGGGCCCCATGAGCCCTATGACCCCCGCGAACCGTATTACTCCAATGAGCCCTAGGAGCCCAATGAGCCTTGAGAGCTCACGAGCCCATGAGCTCTCCGAGCTCCATGAGCCCCATGAGCCTGATGAGCCTTTGGTGGCCTATGAGCACTAGAAAGCCCCATGAGCATTATGAGCTCGCGAGCCCCAGGAGCTCCATGAACTCAGTGAGCCGAGCCCCGCGCCCCCCCGACCCCCCATGACACCATATGAACGCGATGGCCCCTATGAGGCCTACGCGCCCTGTGAGCCCTAGAACCCCATCAGCACTGGGAGCCGTGAGGCCTTGCGAGACCCACGATGCCCCCCTCTGAACCCTACGAGCCCAGTGGGCCGTATACGGCCTGTGGGTCCCATGAGCCCTATGGCCCCGACTTGCCCCTTCGCCCCAATGGGCCCCATGAGCCGTACGAGGCCTACGCGCTCTGTTAGCGCTACGGGCCCTATGGCCCCCAGGAGCACTGCGAGCTCTATGAGCCCAATGGCCCCCAAGAGCTCATGACTCCAAGGAGCCCCGGGACCCTTATAAACACCATGAGGCTCCTATGATCCCCATGACTTCTGTAAAAACCACTCAGCATTATGAGCCCCGTGCCCGATGTGCACAAACAGTTCCATGGCACCAGCGAGCCCCGTGGGCCCTGTGAGCCGCGTGAGTCTCATGACCCCCTGGAACCGCATCGGCAGCATTACCGCCCGCCTAAAAAGGGGGGCTCCGAGCCCCTGGGCCCCATGACGGCACAGACCCCTTCTGAGCTCTTTGAGCCGCAATCTCCCCTGGGTCCTATCAGCCTTGTTTGATCCATGGTCTCCATGGCCAACGCACGCCGCGGCACTGACGACAACCGATCTCATCGCGCGTCCCTGGCGCCATGCGACCAAGATTTTAAAGACGAAGCGCAACGAGCGGGTAAAATCTTGATTTTTTCTCTCTCTCTCTCTCTCTCTCTCTCTCTCTCTCTCTCTCTCTCTCTCTATATATATATATATATATTCACCCTCACTCGCGTTGATTAGCAGAGGGAGGGAAGGAAGGGAGACGCACCGTTTTGGCGACGACCGCGAGCACAGCCGCAGGCTCTCCGCCCGCCCATTCCTCGATGGGCGGGAACAGTTAAAGTTGAGGGGTGGGTGGTGGAAAAGGCACAAGCTAGCTGAAACAGCTGCGGGAGGGAAGGAAGAGGAGGAAGGCAGGGGAGCAGCCGTTGCACTGCCGTGGGTGAATACCCCTGTTTAAGCAAGCCTAAGCAAAACACTATTCACCCTCACTCGCGTTGATTAGCAGTGGGAGGGAAGGAAGGGAGACGCACCGTTTTGGCGACGACCGCGAGCACAGCCGCAGGCTCTCCGCCCACGCTGACCCGGGGTCCCGCATCGCGGCGCCTCCGACCCGCCTTGAAACTGGGACGGGCCCAGCTCCATCCTCCTTAAACGACGGGTGGGCCCTAGTGGTCCGCCCAAGGTGGTGTCCTGAAACTGTAGACCCCGGCGCGCCCCGGGAACGGCCCTGCTAGGCAGAGCAGGGCAAAGTCCAACCAGGCGCCGCGCGCCAGGGCGCGCGGAAAAACGCGCGCGGGGAAGCAGGGGCGCCACCGCCGACCCTCCGGTGGGCAAACTGCTCACAGGCAGGGGGCGGGGCCCCACGAGTCGATTAAACAAATGACCGCGGGCCAGCTCCACCGCCGAGCTCCACCTAGGGGGAGCTCCACTCCAGGCGCACCGGGGCATGTCCGCGCAGTGCGCCGCGAGGGGCGGGGAGGGGAGAGTGACCGGGGCCGCGCGGGGGCCGCCCTGCCCGCATCCTGTACAGCCGCTTAACACGTTCATGACTCGGCGGCTGGCGTGCGTGCAGGGGGGCCCGAAAAACGCGGAGCCACCCCTCCAGAGGGAGGAGGGTCCGTGGTGAATTAAAGGAGAGGGCCACCCGCCTCCCGGACGCCCGCACAAGGCCGGGTCCGGCTCAGTCCGTCTCCTCCAGCTGCAGTATCGCCTCCGCCGGGGGCTCCGGGGTCGCCTCCCGTGTACGGCTGGTAGGGGCCCTCCCCTTGTCCCGTGCGGCGGTCTCCCCAGCCTCGCGGGGGGGACGGGGCATCCCGCCCTGGGCTGGTCTCGGGGCTTCTGCCTCCGGCCGGGTCACTTCCAGGCTCCTCCGCATGGCTGGCTCCCTCGTCTCCTGCAACTTCTCCATGACCTCGGGGATCCTGTACTCCCTCCCGGTGGGCGGGTTGGTATTGGTCTGAACACCTACCCCGAACGTGTCCTTCAGGTACTCCGCCGCGATCCGCCCGTTGGTCTGGCCCAGTCCCGCCTGGGCCATGCGGCTGAAGTCCTCCAGGTGGAACAGGCGCTCTCCACCGGGGGAGGAGGAGGCCCCCTCCCTCTGCTCGTCGACGAGGATCTCTACCAGGACCTGCAGGACGTGGCGGAAGCCGCCACCCCTCGGGGCTTGCCGCCACGCGTCCGACCAGAATAGCTCCCGGGTCTCGAAGGTGCCATCCTCCTCGTGGCCCCTCTCCGACCAGAGGCTCTGGCGCGGCTGGAAGCGCCTTCCTCCGCCCGGGGCCGGAGGGCTTCCTCCCCCCGGCACGCTGCGCCCGAGGCGCTCCCCG